CCACGCTGGCTGTGACTGTGGGCGGGGTCAAATCAAGATCAAAACTTCACACACGTGACGGCAGACTGATGTTTGGTGTGAGGAGGAGGAAGCAGCTGAGCGAGCAGCAGGACGCTAACAGGCCTGCGTGGGTCCACGTGTGCGTGTGGCGTGTGCGTGTCAGGCTGCCGCTCATCTCCTCTTTATTGTTGTGATTTCAAAAGGAAGCTGCAGTAGAAATTCAGTATAAAAACGTCCGTACAATCTTCACTCTGTCTCTGGTTTGAAGCTGAGAGCTTTCAGTCCTCACGCCACACACGTGCAGCCGCAGGAAGCGCGCTCTCAGGACGGCGTGCTGTTAGCGTCCCTCCATCCTGTGAGGTGTGATGTTGGGCTGTCAGGTATAAGGAGGGAGTGTCCGGTGTGTGTCTGCATGCATGTGGGTCCTGTGTGTGTCTTCAAAGTCCGCACACACCTGTGTGAGTGTGTGTGTCACTGTCCGGGGAAGGTGGGGTAGTGTGTCGGGGAGTGTGTGTGTATGTGTGGCTGAGACTGCGTGTGTGTGTTTGCCAGGGGCAGCGTTGTGTGGCGGTCGGGAGGCAGGCGGGTGGACAGCAGCTCGTCTTCCGCGGCGTCACCTACAGACGGAGCAGAAACACACCTGTTACCTGAGGTAGGCGGAGCCTTAAAGCTACTTGACTCATATTCAATAAAAGGAGTGCTATGGGGAACCTGGCTGAGAGTCTGACGGAGGTCAAGTGGACACTTGGCTCCTCCCTCATGCACGAGTAACACAAAGAACTTTGGTGACTTGTGTCTTGCTTTTTGCTGTGTAGCAAATCGTCCTTAACGTTCCAGCGAATACGTTTATGCTATAAACCCATCATCGACCTCCTCAACACGTCTGTGTACAGCGTCGGCGTGACGACACGATCAAAAACACCAAAAACTCTGAAACCAAAGCTGAATTTGTCTGTCGGGTCTCTGCAGCTCCTCCAACATCTGACTCTTTACATCTGCACGTTTCTGATGTTTACTCTCCAAACAATGTTTCCAGGTCACAGCGCACCGAGAAGCAAATACTTGATTACTCAGGAGTTTCTCTTTTTTTGGGACATTGTGGAGCGACGAATGAAACGTAGAGAAAAGCAGCAGGTGAGGAAGAGCTTCACCAAACGATGATGTTTGAATATATTAAGAGTTTATGAATTATGTTTATTTGAAGTTGCAAAGACAGAAATATCTGCCTGCATACTTCATGTTGATGCATGTGTGACGCTAAAGATGCTCTTATGAAGCATCAACTGGACATGACTCTGATGTGTTTCTGTCTTTGTCTTTTTCCACGATCTGTCAATAAAATGCAACGGTTTCAATTAGATTGATTGTCATTTTAACTGATTTTTTATTTATTTATTTATTTTTATTTGAATTTTATTTTATTTTATTTGTATTCTTTCACTTATTGTTGCTGCCTGTGTTTGAGTAATTTCTGTAACTGTGAGACACCTGCTGCTGCTATCTTGGCCAGGTCTCCCTTGAAAAATAGGTTTTTAATCTCAATGGGATTTTACTGGTTAAATAAAGGTTAATAAATAAATAAATAAAATAAATAAATACAATTTTATTTATACAGCACCTTTCTAGACAGAGTCACGAAGTGCTGCACACAAGATAAAAAGTCATAAAAAGGTGAAACAGACGATATAAAACCAGCAAAAATGAACCAAAAGCAGTTTTAAAAAGGTGAGTTTTGAGTTGTTTTTTAAAAACAACACTGAGTCCATCTGTACTGAACGACCCTCTGCCTCCTTTGTCCTTCACTCCAGCAGGGGTGAAGGACAAAGGAGGTGAGAAAGGAGGTGAGAAAGGAGGTGAAGAGAATGAAAAAAGTAAAGTATGTCCGTAACATGGAGCATGGAGGTCATCAGAGCGGGACTTCCTACGAGTGCCGAGCTTTAAGGAGACGACCGTGAAGACAAACATCAGGTTTGGTTCTTGAGTTTATGGGAGGAGCTTGTATAAATCTTGTGTAAATGTTATGTAAGGGTTGGCGTGCGGCGTACCGCTGCCGGGATCCATGCCGGTCTGGTTTCCAGTGATGTGGTGCCAGTAGGCGGACCGGGGCAGGATGGCGGTGGGGGTGCAGGGGTACGAGCCGGACTCTGAGCCCTTCGACAGCAGCTGGGATAAAAAACACAACATCAGGAATCGAGACAATAAGCAGGAAGTAGCACGGCTCACACGCAATCAAAGAAGTTCATTTTATTGTGAAATTATTATTATTATTTACTGCTTTTCTCTGTTTGTTTACAAAATAAACTGAATAAAATGTGACTATGAAGCACAAATGTGAGATTTCACAGGACTTTATAGCCTTGATTTATTATTACAGCGTTACAGGAAGTTTATTTTGAAAATTTTATTTCAAAACTTTGTTGAGACGAACACATTTTTTATGCTTTTATTAAAACTTAATGGTGCTTTTTTAAAATTAAGCTGCTCTTTGAAACAGGGACGTCGCCCCCTTCTGGATGTTTTCTGACCTGCTACTTCCATCATTTATATACAGTCTGTGGCTGTGCGCTGCTGTAATCGCACAGG